CTTGAATTGGCTGTCAGTCCCCAGCAGGTGCTGTGGGTGATTGGCAGATGCTGAGCTGTGGAACTATTTGTACCTAGAATATCAATAATGGGCACTACAGTATGTGGCATGAGATGCCCCCTTGCATTGGAGGTATTCTGGTGACACAGACACTTCCTAGTGTGGGTGAGCCCTGGGAAGAGTGAGGAACCATGGCTTTCCATTTTGGAGAGGGCGGGGTTGGAGAGTGCCAGGTCTCTTGAGTCATCAGCTGGAATTTACTAAAGCTGTCTCCCTCTGGAGCACTTTTATCAGAGTCACTGCTACTTATGTGCTTCTGTTTTCTGACCGCATTCACTCCATGTCTTCAGAGCAGAGGCTATCTTTCCACATGGAAGAGCTCTAGTAAGAAACAAAATTTCACTCAGAAGCTCCCCAGATAAGTGGTGTGGGCCAAAGAGACATTGAAAAGATTCAAGACATACAAAAAGGGTCCAAAATCATTTCATAATATTTGTAAATATACAGATAATGTATATCAGTTAACTCTGTGCCACAGGTGAATGCTAACATTTCAAAATCTTGTATGTGCAAGTATGAGATAGAAATTTTATTTCTCTTGCATTGCTTCTGACAGGTCCCCTACACAAGTGATTCAGTGAGAGGTTTTCATGATTCTCTGATAACTCATTTTCCCACTATAGATATTTTACCATCCTTATATTATCTGTCCCTTCCAGAGCGGGCTGAGTGTGCGGTTAGTGTCTGTGCAATGCCAAGCTATGTATCTTGTATCTTTCACGTAAGGTAAGCCAGAACAAAGCCAAATATTGTAGGTATGTAGCCCAGGTCATCTAAAGTAGTAGTTAGTCATAACATGAACAGAAGGGAACTAGAATGTGTTACATGGTGTAAAGTTAACACTTAAAATTATTGGGAGATTAAATTACCCACTTGGGTCAGAAATCAAGATAACAAGCTTTACTTACGTAAATTGGGTCCTTTACTGAATTACACTTAGGTGTTGAGCCTTTACCTGTGGTCACAGGGATTAGAGAAATTCAAACGCTGATCTGTTTTTCCTTAAGAGGTCTCAATATGACAGTGGATAAAAATGGGCAAACCAATAAAACAGAGGACTTGACACAACTAAAGTTGAACTGACTTTATTTGCAATCTCCCATGCAGAATAAAATTAGGGCTATACTGAAAGCATTTAAATATTTGTAAGAGGATAAGAAATTTACAGATTTTTTTTGTTCAAATCCTACAAAAATATTTCTGTTTCTGCACTCCCTAGAGATATTTTTGGAAATAAGGAGTTCTTGGATTAAAAATCAGATGAAAAGTATTTAGTGGAATACAGCAAGAGAGAAGAAAGAACAGTTTCCTAGGGCTTTGCACAACCCACTAGAATTGATTATTTTATTTTTGCAGGACTGAATGTGAGTCCACCCTCCATAGCTTTGGCCTCTGTCAGGTTGAGTAAATCACATATTAAGGCAAGAAGAAAATGACAGAAGGCTAAGGGTACTAGACACATATTGGCACAACTGACTTCATCCCTGAGACGTGTCATGTTCAGTGTGAGTCATTGTAACTATAGCATGTGGATTTAACTTTGCATAGGAAATACTCAGAATGGCACACTGGAATTCTTGTGACTTTTACAACTATGCGTGCTGTAGAAGTAGATCCCCCCAAATTACACAGAAGTGGAGAAATTCTCATTTAAAGATTTAAAGACATACATTGCTGAATAGGAAGTAGCCTCAAAGTACACAATTTTTATGAGCAATTTTCACTTACACTTGGAAACTTTCATGAGAAGAATGAAACCCAAAAAACAGTTAGGGTTGTAAACTTACGTGTGAGGCTGGACAAAGTGTAGTAATGTGGAACCATGACAAGACAAAGGAGTAAATAGGAAAATGTGACAGGAGAAAGGAGTTTGGGCTAGGGCCATTAATGTTCTAGTACCATTGGTTGAACTCTGTAATTAACACACAATTATTCTTAGGTGTTTAAATTTTAACTGAAAAGTGATCCCTGTTAGGAATTTGGAAAACATTATGCTGAGTGAAATAAGCCAATCCCAAAGGGACAAATACCATTTGTTCTCCCTGATCGGTGACAACTAACTGAGCACCAAAAAGGAAACCTGTTAAAGTGAAATGAACACTATGAGAAACGGTGACTTGATCAGCCCTTGCCCTGACTGTTGATGAACAACTTAATATGTTATCCCTCTTAGTATTTTTTTTGTTTGTTCTACTTAATACTTTTGGTTGAATACTATAATCAATACACAATTCTTCTTAAGTGCTGAAACTTAACTGAAAAGTGATCGCTGTTAAATATAAGAGTGGGAATAAGAGAGGGAAGAGATGTGCAATTCGGGACATGCTCAAGCTGACTTACCTCAAACAGTAGAGTTAGAAACATACCAGGGGATTCGAATTCAGTCCCATCGAGGTGGCATGTACCAATGCCATCTCACTAGTCCCAGTGATCAATTTCAGTTCACAATTGATCGTAATGATAGGACTAAGAACCAAAGGGATCATATAAACAAGACTAGTGTCTGCAAATACTAGCTGATAGAATCAAAAAGGGAGAGAACGATCCAACATGGGAAGTGAGATACACAGTAGACCCATAGAATGGCAGGTGTCCTTAACAGCACTCTGGCCTCAGAATCAGCCCTTAAGGCATGCGGATCCGGCTGCAAAGCCCATGAGAGTATTTCAGGCATGGAAAGCCAAGACACTCTGGGGAAACAACAAAAACAAAACAAAACTTAAATGAAAGATCTCTGTGAGTGAGATCCCAGTGGAAAGAATAGATCTTCAAAGAAGGAGGTACCTTTCTCTGAAGGGAGGAGAGAACCTCCACTTTGACTATGACCTTGTCTAAACAAGATAAGAGTCGGAGAACTCAAGGGGCTTCCATAGCCTTGGAAACTCATGACTGATGCATAGGGAGATTACTGATGCCATGAACAGGAGTGTCAATTTGTAAAGTCAACAACAGGAGTCACTGTGCACTTACTTCTCATGTAGGATCTCTGTCCTTAGTGTGCTGTACATTGAGATTTAATGCTATAACTAGTACTCAAACAGTATTTTTCACTTTATGTTTCTGTGTGGGAGCAAACTGTTGAAATCTTTACTTAATGTATACTAACCTGATCTTCTGTATATAAAGAGAATCGAAAATGAATCTTGATGTGAATGGAAGGGGAGAGGGAGTGGGAAAGGGGAGGGTTGCAGGTGGGAGGGATGTTATGGGGGGGAAGCCATTGTAATCCATAAGCTGTACTTTGGAAATTTATATTCATTAAATAAAAGTTAAAAAAAAAAATGACCAAGGGGATAGGTTAGTTCAGAGGTAGGTTTCCTTTCATCTTGACTCCCATGACTGGTGATACACATGGAGGATACCTTTCTCTTGGGAGTTTACTTTTCATTTAAGAAGAAAAAGAAAAATCAAAGTACTCTTCTGGAATCTGTTGTTTCTCAAGTATCTTTAGCTCCAAGCAATCAATATGTGGCCTATAAGGATACTGTAGTAAACTAGGTGATAGATGATGGAGAATAAATATTCTGTTGTATGAATGTATCTCATTTTGTTTATTCACTTGTTGATGAACATTTGGGTTGTGTCTACTTTGGGGGGATGATGACCTAAGCTCTTCTGTGTTTTACATTTGTGTACAAGACTTAGTATGGACATGTTTTTCCACTTTTTAAGGTAAATCTCTAGGTTTCTGAAATGGCTGGGATATGAGTAGGTCAGTGCGTAACTCCTAAGAAAATTCCGGTTTTCTAAAGGGGTTGTGTCACTTTGTACTTCTGCGTGTGGTGCATGAGTTCCCATGGCTCTGCATCCTTGCCACACTTGGTCTTTCTTGTTGTTAGTCATCCTTGTAGGCGTGGGCATATGGCGATTTCAGTTCACATTTTCCCTGATGGCTAAGGCTGATGGCCGTGTCTGGGTTTTCATCTCTTCACCAGAAAGTTAATATTATCCTCATTGTTGGGACTTTGGTTTCTTTGAGCTGAGGCTTATGAACATTTCATTTATTTATTTATTTAAGGATTTATTAATTTTGAAAAAACTACAGAGGTAATGGGGAGACAGAGAGATAGATCTTCCATTTGCTGTTTCACTCCCCAAATGGCCCTACTTCCCAGCACTGTGCTAGGCTGGAGCTAGGAACCAGGAGCTTCTTCTGGGTCCCAAACACTTGGGTCATCTCCCGCCGCTCTTCCAAGTCCATTAGCAGAGAAGTGGATCAGAAGTAGAGCAGCTGGGACATGAACCCGCACCCATATGGGATACTGGCTTCACAGGTGGTGGCTTTACCCACCAGGCCACAATGCTGGCCCTATGAACACTTTTTTTTTTTTTTTTTTGGACAGTCAGAGTTAGACAGTGAGAGAGAGACAGAGAGAAAGGTCTTCCTTCTGTTGATTCACCCCCCCAAGTGATCCAAAGCCAGGAGCCAGGTGCTTCTTCCTGGTCTCCCATGCGGGTGTAGGGCCCAAGCACTTGGGCCATCCTCCACTGCCTTCCTGGGTCACAGCAGAGAGCCAGACTGGAAGAGGAGCAACTGGGACAGAATCTGGCGCCCCAACCGAGACTAGAACCTGGGTGCCGGTGCCGCAGGTGGAGGGTTATCCAAGTGAGCCACGGCGCCGGCCCCTGTGAACACTTTTAAAAGCAATCAAAAGATAGAACTTATTAAAGTTGGCAGTTGTCTGTTCACTCTCATGGTTTTGTTTCACAGAATGGTCAAGTGTGATACTGCTATTTAACTTCCATTTCAATTAATTTTAGCTGACTTTCCATTTGACCTTGAAGTTTTGTTAGCTAGTATGCATTTGTATAGGGCCCATTTCTTTTTTATTCTATGAATTAGGATGAAAATTTATTCCATGTGACGATACCAGGTCTAGGTAAATGTAAATTATCTCAAAATGATTCCACTAAAATGAGAGTTTTGACCTTTTTTCCAGGTCCCGGATGTTATCAGCAGCATCAGGCAGTTATCCAAAGCTGCCATGAAGGAGGATGCCAAACCCAGCAAGGACACGGAGGACGCCTTTTACAACTCGCAGAAGTTCGAAGTCTTATACTGTGGGAAGGTGACCGTGAGCCACAAGAAGGCGCCCTCCAGTCTCATTGATGACTGCATCGAAAAGTTCAGCCTGCACGAACAGCAGCGCCTGAGGCTCCAGTCGGACCCCAGTGAGGACTTGGTGACCCCGGAGGCCGAAGTGCCAGGGGCCCCAAGAGACACCTTGCAGGAGGAGATCGAGGCCGAGGGCGACGCCGACACCCACCCCGGGCTCCCTGCCGCCCCCAGCCAGCCTGCACCACCCACCTCTAGGCTTTGCTTCCCTGAGAGAATTTTGGAAGATTCAACCTTCGACGAACAGCAAGAGTTCCGGTCTCGGTGTAGCAGCGTCACTGGAGTCCTGCAGAAGAAAGTTCACGAGAGCGGCCAGATAGCGCAGCCGCGCCGGAGACATGCGAGCGCGCCCAGCCACGTGCAACCCTCGGATTCCCAGAAGAACAGAACGATGCTGTTCCAGGTACTGGCGGCCGGGCCAACGGGGTCCAAGTCATAATCGGCTGGGCAGCCGCTGGGCCAGGACCACAGCACCTGTCATCCCGCTGTGCTGTGGTCAGATGGAGAGAGGGCAATGGAGAGTAGGAAAGGGGCGAGGGGCAGACAGGGGATGTGGATCTTAAGGAATAAGGGAGTGGGGCAGAAGGAGGAGAAAGAAGCAATTAAAGGGGCATGGCTGGAAAGTCAGCGATGCACGGATGCCTCTTGATCCCTGTTACAGCATTGGGCTTTGGTTAATTGTCTCAATAAACACTTTATTATTATTATTATTTAAATTTTATTTAAAATATATAAATTTCATGCGTTTCCTATATACAGATTTAGGAACATAATGATACTTCCTACCCTACCCTCGCTCCTGCCCACGCTCCCATCCTTTCTCTTCCCTCTCCTATTCCCTGTCTTAATTTTTACAAAGATCTATTTTCAGTTTACTTTATACTCTTGAGATTAACTGTACACTAAGTAAAGAGTTCAAAAAAATAATATGAAGAAAAATACACTGTTCCTCAACAGTACAGACAAGGGCTGTATACAATCATGAGTCTCGAAATGCCAATTTCACGCCAACACATTACATTTTATATACTCTGTTAGTTGCCATTGATTAGGGAAAACATATGGTGTCTGTCTTTTTGGAACTGGCTTATTTCACTGAGTTTAATGGTTTACAGTTGCATCGATTGTGTTGCAAAAGACAGGATTTCATCTTTTTTTAACTGCTGAATAGTATTCCAAAATGTATATACCATAATTTCTTTATCTTATCATCACTTGATGGACATCAAGGTTGATTCCATATCTTAGCTGTTGTGAATTGACCTGCAATGAATATGGGGGTATAGGTAACTCTTTCATCTGCTGATTTTCAAATTCAATAAGTACTTTAAAAAAACTCCAGAGAGCCAGACTTTTTGCAGATTGAATGATGCGTGATTTGGCAATGAAAAAAGCGAAGATTTTTTTTAGAAAGAGAAACAAAAGTCTAGAGATTCACAGGTATATTTTCAGATGAGGACACAGCAAGTCACTCTGTCACACAACAGGGAAGGTTAAAGAAATTCGATTGACCTGATAATTTACTGGAATGGCTGTTAAAATACTTTGATGCAGGGGCAGGCACTATGGTGTAGTGGGTACAGCCACCGCCTGCAGTGCCGGCATCCCATATGGGTTGCTGGTTCAAGTCCTGGCTGCTCCATTTCCAATCCAGCTCCCTGCTAATATGCCTGGGAAAGCAGCAGAGGATGGCCCAAGTCCTTGTGCCTGTGCACCCACATGGGAAACCTGGAAGAAGCTCTTGGCTTCGAATTGGCTCAGCTCCAGCCGTTGCAGCCATTTGGGGAGTAAACCAGCAGATGGAAGACCTCTCTCTCTCTCTGTCTCTGTCTCTGCCTCTGCCTTTCTGTAATTCTGCCTTTCAAATAAATAAATAAATCTTTAAAAAAATTTTGTGCAAGCTATGTTATTGTTGTAACAGATAATTTTTTAAAAAGATTTATTTATTTATTTGAAAGTCAGTTACACAGAGAGAGGAGAGGCAGAGAGAGAGGTCTTCCATCTGATGGTTCACTCCCCAATTGGCCACAAGGGCTGGAGCTACGCCCACCTGAAGCCAGGAGCCAGGAGCTTCTTCCAAGTCTCCCACTTGGGTGCAGGGGCCTGAGGACTTGGGCCATCCTCTGCTGCTTTCCCAGGCCACAGCAGAGAGCTGGATTGGAAGAGGAGGAGCCAGGTCTCGAACCAGCGCCCATATGGGATGCCAGCGCTTCAGGCCAGTGCATTAACCTGCTGTGCCACAGCACTGGCTCCTGAGAATTCTTAATTTTTAAAATAATTTTTCAGTATTGCATAACATACATAGAATGTCAAGTTCCACTGAAAAGAACTTTGTAACAATGCCCTGTAGAGGATATCCTCAGATTGCAATATTTGAGTTTTTTTGAAATAAAAAAAGAGTAGCTATTTACCCTTAAAGAAGACCTGAGCAGGAAATTCTGCAGCATACCTTGACAAACAGTCCCAGTGTGTAATGTTCATTTTATTAGAATTCATGTTTTGTTTTTGTTAGCTCTAGGCTTGTAATCAAAGTGTCTCTAGTCTTTTCTTTGGTGATAGATACATTAACTGAATTTTCCCCTCCTCTCTGGGCCATCAGATTTTTTTTTTTTTTTTTTTTTTTTTTTTTTTTAGCCAATCTCAGTCCTTGCCATTAATTTTTTTGAATGATTTTCTTTTAAAGATTTATTTTATTTATTTGAAATACAGAGTTACAGAGAGAGGTAGAGACAGAGAAAGAGAGGTCTTGGATCTGATGGTTCACTCCCCAGCTGGCCTCAATGGCCTGAGCCACACCAATCTGAAGGCAGGAGCTTCTTCCGGGTCTTCCATGTGGGTGCAGGGGCCCAAGGACTTGGGCCATCTTCTATCACTTTCCCAGGCCATAGCAGAGACCTAGATCAGAAGAGGAGCAGCCGGGACTAGAACTGGCGCCCATACGGGATGCTGGCGCTTCAGGCCAGGGCTTTAACCCTCTGTGCCGCAGCGCCAGCCCCAAATGGTTGTTTATTTTTTTAAAAAAATCTCATTTATCAGCTCAATTAAATATACCATTTTATAGACCTTTTGGGAAAAAGTATGGATATAAATAATTAATATCTTTAGAAATCAAGAAGTAAGTAAAGGTTACATAGTTTTTGAAGACAATCATTTCTAATCTGAAAAGATTATTTTTTGCATCTTATCATTTAAGAACAATTTAGTTACCATTATTTTTTGATAAAGAGAAGAAATGTTATGAGGCGACTGAAGTTTGGGGATAAAGTATTGATTGAGTAGATGTTGGAGAGAGTATGAATAGGTGTATCTGAGATGTTGTATTTGAATCTAAATTATTAATTAACTATTTAGTCATAGGGTGCATGTTGGGTCCTTGTAAATTGAAATTAATTAAGATGCTTTTATTTTTAAGGTTGGACGATTTGAGATTAACCTTATCAGTCCAGACACTAAATCAGTTGTTCTAGAAAAGAATTTTAAAGATATCTCCTCTTGTTCTCAGGTATGTATCAGATATCATACTATCTGAAGGAATCAATTAAATCTTGTTCCATGACTAACCATGAAATAACTAGACTTAAACCACTCACATTTTCATGTGTTTTTTTTCTTTTTTTACTTTTTAAAAGAGAACTAGTTTTAATCCAGTGCTCATGTTTTTATGTCTATGCCAGTTAACAAAATCCTGTTGAAGTCTCTCAGTGTCTGTCATATGAGTTTGTTCTCGTTTCAGTCAGCTTTCTCTCCTTGATATTCACTTCATCAAGACTCCTCCATGGAGTGGATTTTTGTGTGTTGAGTTGTTTTGGAAATACCTTCAGAGTTAATGTTCTTAGACTCTTGGGCTGGGGGACTTGTGGGTGTTACTGATTCACATTTGCTATTAGTAGGGAGTTAAAGGAGAACTAGTGTTTTCAGTTAATAGTAATGCAAATTTTGAAAAATACTTTAATGTTTTTGGTCTTTTAATTTGAAATATATGTATTTAGATATTTCTAAAAATAGTTGGTATAGCCAGAGGTGTACGAGATTGTAATATTAGGCATGAACTTGTATCCTAAATATGCTAGTGATTTAGAACATCTATTCAAGGGTTAGAGCTACTAAACTTTTGATAAAAATAGAAAGAATTTTTGAGGTCAGGAGGATGGAGGCATACCTGGATTTCAGTGTGGGAAGGCTGAAAATGTGAAGATGCCACTGAGGAGGACCCTGGAACAGAGAGCCCAGTTTCTAGTCCAGTGACTTGGTGACCTGCTAGGAGCTGCATCATGCCAGCTCCCTACCTGTATTTTAATATTGGAAAATCCTAACTGCCTATTTGATTTTCTTCCGTTCTTGTTTTTGGATTTTTGAGGTTAGCTTTGCTATAGGTATGATATTCAGAAATTCTTCCCTTTGAAGATGACAAAAGAGATTTTGTACAGCTTGTTAATCATTTGTCTCCATGTCAGGTAGTAGCTTTCACTTCTAATATTTTGTTTTCATGTATTTTCTCTTAAACAGAGATGTAAAATTAGGTCGCATAGATAAAACCTTTTCTGCTCTAGTAACTTTAAGAGTGCCAGCATTTGAGTATAGGCGAAATATATGTATTGAGAATTTCCTAATTTCTATTTAAGGGATACAGAAATTTTGCACAAAATTATTCACTTTAATGGGAAAAGATTTAGTAAGCATTGTGTTAATTATCTGTTTTCTGGGGGTTCCTGCAACATCATAAGTCCCTGAGGGCAGGTGTCTTAGTCTTTGGGGGTGCTCTAAGTTAGAGCTTAACCTTTAGTTGCCCAATAAATGTTGAATGATCATTTCTCCAACTCTTGAAGAAAAGCTGCCATAGAAACCCAGGGTAGTTCCTGCTCCCACAGGGCACCGAGAGGCTTTCTCAAAAGCTGTGCCTTCCTCCTGCAGCCTCCTAGTGAGGAAACTAGTAATGCGCTTTGAATAGTCACAAGAGAAAAAGAAAAGAAAAAAGTAGAGAGAAAAAGAGCAGCCAAGCCAAATATGTAAAACTCAAAGTTCAAACGTGAATTGGTTTTTCCTTTCTATTTTTTTAAGGCAAGCTTTTATTCTCTATTCTGATTCAGAAAGAGAAACAAAAGCACGAGAGAAACTTCTGAAAAGGCCTTTCTTCTGTATGATGGCCTGGGAGCCATGTGCTGTTTTCTGAATGGCACTGTCCTTGTGACTTCTGTCCACAGAAATGAGCTGGTAGCATGTGGCTGGATTCAGAAACAGGCCTGCTTTTTAAACTCTGCACACCTACAAAGTTATTATCTTCAAAATCTGTAGGGCTGTTTTCCCAGCAAGCATGAGGAATACAGGAGTGGTTTGCTTTACTGGGAACTTTGCCTTGGCCTGAAGACTCTGAGCTAAAGAGGGCCTGTGAATTTTACCCGTTTAGTTCTAAGCTGGTAAAAGATGTTTCTTAATCCCTAAAGAGTTGTGCCAGGTCGAGCTTACTTTCACCTTGTGAATTGCAACTTTACTGCTCTCTTTTTTTCTTTTTGTGTAGTTGATTTCCTTTTTCTGTATCTGTCGGATAGATTGAGCTTGTTATCACAAGAATAATGGTTACCACTTATCAAACATTCCAGGAACTATTACAGGTATTTCTTAGGTTTAATCTCAAATGTTTCTGACCATGGATGTTGTTACCACTATTTTAGAATGAGAAATGGAGCCTCAGAGATAATACCAGCAAGATAGCTCATAATTAGTAAATCAGTTGGACCAAGATTTAAGCACAAATCCATGTGACTCCAAAGCCTATTTTCTTCTCACTTGGATTTAGGGAATTTCAGGGACTGTTGTAGAATTTTTGCCTACCTGGTTTTCAAATAATAAGATATTGCTATTAAAATAGTAAGGTGTCAACTCCTTATTGATATGTATGTATTCAAACTGATGAGACTAAATTTTCTATTAAATATTGCTGAATTTATCTAGCCTGAGAAGCACAATGAATTGTGAATGTGGACTGGCACCTGCACTAATTTCTTCAACATATATCAGTTTTTACCAATGTGACTCTTTGTCTAAAAATAGACAAATATTCTGGTGTTTTCATGCATTCTTTAAGGGATTGTATGCCATTTAATTCTGGTGTTGTCAGTTGTCATTTTTCTTCGATTCTTAGCCCTCACATAAAGAAGAATAGGGTTTATGATTAATCTTCTGACCAAGAAGACAATAAATTGAAAACTCCATTCCTTGCCAACAGGGAGTAGTGGTTTTATTTCAAGGTGCAGTGGATCTTGCCATCCCTGTTTTTCCTCCCATGGACCTGAGTCACAGAGTGTTCATCAGAAACAAAACAATCTTTGCTTTCATTTTACATATCATCAGGCCATTCTGTAAGTTTGCTGTGACATCACAGGATGGGTTCATGGAACTGAGAAAGCGTAGAACTAGTGTTGGTTTCTGTACTGTTGTTTAAAGGACACATTCCCATAAACCCGTATTGCACCTCTTCCTCCCGTCTAGGGTATAAAGCACGTCGATCACTTCGGCTTTATCTGCCGGGAGGCTGCAGAGCCGGGGCTGAGCCAGTATATCTGTTACGTGTTCCAGTGTGCCAGCGAGTCTCTGGTGAGTGAACTACTGCTGTCCAGGTGGCTCTAGGTGAGGCCTTTGCCCTTCCAAGCAGCATGAATGGTGGAAAAACACAGATTGTCATAGTCATGGTGAACCCTGGATGCTTTCCTGGTTTTAACAAGCCCGGTCATATTACCATGAATATTTTTAGAAGGGAAAAGAAGATTAATATGAGAAAAGCTGTTACTTTCCCAGTGCTCAAATGAGAAGAGAGGGAGACTGTTGACTTCCTAGTTTCTTAATTACTGTAACATCTCATAATCGAGAATGCTTATAGCAACACAGCAGAGAACCATTTTTGTTTCATTAGCCCCGTCTTCATTTTTAAAGGCTGTGTTCTCTGCGGTCTTCTTTGACCTTTCATTTTCTTACCTTGAAATTTAAGAGTCAATTTTACTCTCATGTACTATGGGAATTTTGGTGTGTGAGTGAAGATACTTAAGGCAGGCTTGGAAATACACCTGAGTGACAAAGAAATGTTGATTTTTTTTCCCCCTCCAAGTGTTTTCTTACTGTCCCACATGTGCTATCTCTCTTTTTAACCAGTTTAACATAATCTTCAGATATAGCCATCCCCGTTCTTCAAGGGTTTACAGAAAACCGTTTCTTAGGCACATAATCCTTGTAGCAGCATTTCTCCCACAAGAACAAATGCAACCTGCACAGAAGCAAATAAGCCAGGCAGCACTGTCCAGTTTCCTTCATGCGTGTTATAATCGTCTTGACTCATTCTTGCCCTCTACATTCCCAGTGTGGCCAGCGAGTTAGGACTCACTGAAGAAGTAACAGCACTGCTCCACCTTTTTCTCTAGGGATCATAATGATATTTTGATTCCGGAACATTCCATTTGAATGTTGTTCTAGATAATTAGCCACACCCGTGAAGTATCCACTTGTCGGTATTCAGTTGGCCCTTGCTAAGTAGGTTCAGTTTAGGACTTGAGATCAACCTTTGAGGGTAGTCATTATATAAATGACAGTGGAAGGCATGGGAATGTGTGAACACCCAAGGGGAAGAAAGAGGAGAGCCAAAGAGAACCAGTGATACCACCCTGGGAAGTCCCAGCCTACTAAGAGTTCGGTAGAAAAGAATCATGTGGTATACTCTGCACCCATACCCTACTCTCCACTCACCCCTACTGCTCACACCTCCACCATTCCCCCCTCATCCCTGCTCCCAAGACTGATCTTTCTACCATAGTCTCCATCCTGTACTCTCCTGCCTTCCCCAAACCTACCACATATCCTTGTAGTTTTTATTTTGGTAGCACCCTTTACTCAACTTTCCACTTCTGAAAGCCTAGCACATTTTCTTTTGCCTTTTGTATCTTGTTTACCAAATCCTATCGACTTTCAAAGGAAATATCTCTCTGTCCATCTCCCTTCCTTTTCTTTCTGGCTGACTCTGGGTGTTGGCCTTCTTCACTTGCATTCTTGTATTAATGGCCCAATTCCTCTCCCTACTGTTGCTTTCGTCTATGATCTGTGCATTTTCTCCTTGCTGCTAGAGTTTGATTTCTCACTGAATTTCCTCCCCAGCACCCAGTTACTGGGTGTCATCCTCCAGGGACACAGTCCAGATGGTGTAGCAGGAAGTTGAGCCTGCTCCATTCTTCTCCAGCCTTGTGTGTTGTGACTCCTCTGCCTTTTTTGTGACAGTGTCTTCACAAGTGCTTTTGCAGCTCATGAGCTGCTCTCTGGGTTAAACCACAGATACCTGTCAGGCGATTGGTGCGATGGTGCTTTTACTTTGATTTGCTACCAGACACCGCAATTGATGAGGGCCTGGGACACACATGGGGTCGAGGATGTAAGGGAGTGGCTGCAGCTCTCTGCAGGATCCTTGTGGCACAGAGGTGGCACTTTACTGGGTGGAGTGAGGAGTCTGTCATGTCAGGGGAGGCCAAAACCAAGCTCTCTGCCTTATTTGCTGTCAGGCTGGGAAGGGGCTCTGCCAGCCACAAGGTTTCCTGCTGTTACTCAGCTGGGACTCCGGGCAGTGCTGTAGTTACCTGTTTCTGGGTCCCCCTTCTTGTTGCTGCATTGGCAGTAAAGCAGGCCTGGCCTCCACCTCCCCTGAGTACCGCTCCCCTTCTTTCTAACTGTGGGTTTTATGGGACCGAGCTTACTTGTCTCATCCTGCTGGAGCCATTCCTGACTCCTGTCAGCACTGCTCTGACACCCCCACCCCGTGCTCAGTCTCCAGCAGCTCCTGCCAAGCCCCGCCTTCATTCATCTGTTTCCATAAGCAGCTAATCCAGGAGCTGTGGATTTCACAGCGGTGGGACTGTCTCCTAGTTTGTTGGTATGCTCAGGGTTGCTGGGTTAGTAAGTGCCTGATAGCTTTGTTTTGTGAATGATTAAATGATTGTGTTAGTCTTCACTTTAGGCAATCATTTTCTGAGGCCTAATTGGCCTCTGATCACTGGATAACTTGCAATGAAACAGAAACAATCTAAAACCTTATTTCCAATCTCTTTCAACGTGTTTTTTTTTTTTTGTTTGTTTGTTTTTTTGTTTTTTTTTTTTTAGCATTTTCATTTTGCCTGCACGCATGCAGAGTGGGTTTGGTGGAAAGCCTGGGGGCATGCTACATTACCTCCAGACGTGCCCTGTGACTAAGGCAACAGACTGGACTGGCTGTGAATGCCTGCCTATTCCTGGAAGCCCTGTTGGGGTTTGAGTTTTGGCAGCATTGTTCTTAAGAACAGGCCCATGCTAGGATCTTTCAAACCCTGTTTACTCTGCTGTTATCTCAAGCAAGCATCTTAAGTGAGTGGTGAGGCATCAGAACTGCATGCTGGAAGGAAGATTAAATGTAAATTTGCTGCCTAATAAAGGATGGCTCAAGCAGCTGATATAGGAACAAAAGAAAATAGTCAATTAAATACCCTTGGTGTGAGCAGTGTTCTAATTGATGTGGCTTGGCACTTGTGTAGGTATTGCAAAATCAAGCATACTGACTTGTCTTCCCTGTATACCAAGAACACAAGGTAGCATTTTCTCTTGCTTTTTTGTAACAATTACTATGAATTTATGAACAATATAATGTTCTTATGTGTTGTACTGCGGGTAAGTTACATCGGAAGTGTAAATGCTTTTTCTTTCTTTCTTTGTTAAAATAGTTATTGTAGGTAGATAGCTTAGTCTGTTTAACCAACTATTGAGATTAAAAAATGTATTTATTTTCACTTTATTTGAAAGAAAGACAAAGATCTCCTATCCTCTGATTCACTTTCTAAATTGCCTCAACTGCTGGGACTGGGTCAGATTGGAGCCAGGAGCCTGGCACTCAATCTGGGGCTCCCACATGGGTGGCAAGAGCCCAAACACTTTAGCCATCACCTGTTGCCTCCCAGGGTACACGTTAGTAGGAAGCTAGCTTGGAAACAAGCTAGCACTAGGACAAGAACCAGGTACTCTGATTTGGGATGCAGCTATCCCAAGTGGCATCTTGACCACTGTTTAAAATGCCTACTCTGAGATTTTTAGAAAATCTCACTTATGTAACAGTGCTTTTTTTTTTTTAAGACTTTATTTATTTATTTGAGAGGTCGAGTTACAGTAAGAGAGAGACAGAGAAAGGTCTTCCTTCCGTTGGTTCACTCTCCAGATAGCCACAACAGCTGGAGCTATGCCGATCCGAAGCCAGGAGCCAAGTGCTTTTTCTGGGTATCCCATGTGGGTGCAGGGGCCCAAGCACTTGGGCCATCCTCCACTGCTTTTCCAGACCACAGCAGAGAGTTGGATTGGAAGAGGAGCAGCTGGGACTAGAACCAGTGCCCATGTGGGATGCCGACACCACAGTCAGAGAATTAACCTAGTGTACCACGGCATTGGCCCCACAGTGCTTTCTTCAAAATTGGTTTAGATAATGTGAAAAGAAATGCAAGTTAATGCTATTCATACACAAAGAAAAAGTAATTTCCACAGATACACAGAAAATAGGGAAAGTATAACCAAAAGGAAAAAATAAAAGACCCAAGCTACTGAAAATTCAGAGTTTGTACGTGGTTAGTAGTTAATTAAATAAGCATGCTATTCATTAGAAACTTTAACATATTGATAGGAGAGTGAGGATTGGCCAGGGAAAGAGACCATTGTCTTGTTCATAGTTGTTCACGGCAGATTTATGCCATTCTTCGTTGGAGAGTTTGAGAATTTAAATTATTCAGATAGTATAATCTTTTGATATCCTTAGACATTCTGTGAGCCTTGTTCTAAAATACCAGGTTTGGCATATAAATGTTCATGAGCATTAACTTCAATATGAGTTGTCCCCTCCTGTCATAAATTGGACTTCTTTGTTCTATTTCATGCTTCCCTCTGGGAATTTAATGTTGCTGGATGGCAATGCCAAGAATATTTACTTTCTTTTTGTTTGCATATGATTGATTTGTCTTTGCACATTTTTTGCTTTTAATGTTTTGATGTGACTTATTTTTTTTGGTTGTTGTATGTAGACTCAAATATTTAAATGACTCATAGTGTGCTAATTTCAACTTTTCGTTGTAGTGATCCCAAGATAGAATTTACAGGCTGTTTAGAAAAAGTGTTGGATTAAAAAAAATTATTTTTTAATTTAGAAGTCAAATAAAGTTTTTACTTGTGGCAGGGAAAATTGATGCCCACATTTTAAGAATAGCATCCTGTTTTCATCTTGAAATAGAGAAGAAAATGCCCAAAATGCCCAATATTTCCACTGGAGGCCTTTTACAAGGCAGTATTATTAAATAGCAGTAATATATACGAAAGCTGTTTCAATTACTAAGCAGTTTACTAACCTCTTCAGTGTCTGACATAAATGAGAATCAAGAAAATAGAAATAAATGAATGTCTGCATACATAATTAAAATTACTTTTGAATACATAACAAGGTAAATGAAATAAAAATGCAACAGCATTACATGTATATTTGTTTAGTTTCTAAGAATTCGAAATCTTTATTTTTAATTATAGGTTAAAATGACATATGTTATAAATAATTCATTTCTTTTTATGGGATGATGTAAAATTACTCAAGTCTTTGTAAAGCTGATAGTATAATAAAACTTAAGGCCGGCGCTGCGGCTCACTAGGCTAATCCTCCGCCTTGCGGCGCCGGCACACCGGGTTCTAGTCCTGGTCGGGGCGCCGGATTCTGTCCCGGTTTCCCCTCTTCCAGGCCAGCTCTCTGCTGTGGCCAGGGAGTGCAGTGGAGGATGGCCCAAGTGCTTGGGCCCTGCACCCCATGAGAGACCAGGAGAAGTACCTGGCTCCTGCCATCGGATCAGCGCGGTGCGCTGGCCGCAGTACGCCAGCCGCATTGGAGGGTGAACCAACGGCAAAAGGAAGACCTTTCTCTCTGTCTCTCTATCTCTCACTGTCCACTCTGCCTGTCAAAACAAAACAAAACAAAGAAAAAAACTTAAGAATAATAGCTGCCTGTTAAGTGTTTGTTCTGACCTTTCAGTCCTAGTAGAAGAGCTAAAAACATTTCTTTCTATTCCAGGTTCCTCATAAACTCAAATGCAGAAGTATATTAAATCATTTCAGTAAAAATGTGCTCTTAAACCAGTCCATCGTTGAAGGCAAAAAAGAAAATAAAAAAATGACATCCCAAGCATGATAAATGGCTTTGAAAATCAAAGCTAGTTCAGATGAGGCCCCAAGTACCCAACAGCTCTGCAATGTAGGCTTTAAAATTTGATGTAAAAAAAAAAATTAATGTAAGTTCTCCAAAGTGTGGGAAAATCACACCTTACATTGATGGTTGTGCAGCAGGAAAGGAGATGCAAGCTGAGGTGGTTTTAACATTGCATGAAGATGTATTCTGTGTAGGTTTGATCTGGAAAGCTAAATTCACAGGTCTTGATTGAGTCAGTAGAAGTGCAAGAAAGAAACTAGCTGGCCGTTTGCAAGCTGCTGACTGAGTGGAGCGACCTTGTGGTTAATCTCCATGATGTCAGGACTTGGTGTCACAATCAAAAGTAGAATAATCAGCCACAAACTGGAGAGCTAAGACAAGCAACACTCATAGACTTTCCCCCTCATTGTTTAAACTGAGACGATAGTTTCCTCAGAAAGTCACGTGAGCGTGTTTTATTTTTATACTAAAAGTGATCTAGCAGAATAAAGTAATTAGGACACCTGTTAACAGGAGTGAATGTTGACATTGTTTTCTCGCTTCCCATATATGACAGACAAAGCTTCCAAAGGGGTATTTGTCTGAAAAAACCATCCATTTAATTAAATAAAGACCTGATCAACTCATCCAACTGTGATACTATAACCCTCAATGGGAATTAAAAATAGCATTCTAGTAACAGATCAGTATCATATTATACACATACACATTGAAATGGACTTACTTCGCCCAGCTCTCAATTATGTATGCATAACTCCAGGACTTAATATTTCCTCCCTGCCAGCTCTGTCTCATCACAACCCTATTAACTGTGAACTCGTCAGCACCAACCGCGGCCCCCATTGCTGCTGGGTTTTCTGTGTCGCCATGAACGCAGCCTTTTGTAGACCTGAGTCTTGTTCCTTCTTGTAGGTCGATGAGGTCATGCTGACTCTGAAGCAGGCTTTCAGTACCGCCGCTGCCCTGCAGAGTGCCAAGACGCAGATTCAGCTGTGCGAGGCCTGCCCCATGCACTCTTTGCACAAGCTCTGTGAAAGGATTGAAGGTACAGTGTATCCTGGCCTTGGCAAGAGAGGAGTTTGCACTGGCCTCGGGGACGTGAGGAAGTCCCTCCTATCATTGAATAGGGCTTTGTGTAGGTGAAACAGGAACTCGGAGTCGTTTCGCGTGTCCAGTCAAGTCTGACTGTCCTCCAGGTGCTTGGCATTCTCTCTCCCTCTCTCTTTTTCTTTTTGCCTTTCTTTTGTTCTCTGTCTCTTCCTTGTTTTTTTTTCTTCATGCAGCAAACTCATAGAAGAGACTTGTGTTTCCCACAGTTCTTAAGACTCCGCTGTGTGTTCTGTGGGAACTGACCAAATATTTGTTGAATGAATGAAGAGAAGCAAAACCACTAGAGAATGTTAACTATTTCATTCTTTTTTCCCCTCCCACTGGATGATGTATTCTTTTCTCTAAAAGTCTAGAACTATAATGAAACTCGCTTGGCTTCTGAGGGACGTTTGTGAACGACAGAGGTGATAAAGGAGATATCTTAAAGCAGATTTGTGCTCTGACTTGGAAGGAGCAGCACGAGCAGGGGCTTGGGGGGGCTAAACACTGACTTCCCTACTTCTCATTTTTTTCTTTTTCTTTTTTTTAATTTTATTTTTTAATTTTTAATTTTTGACAGGCAGAGTGGACAGTGAGAGATAGAGAGACAGAGAGAAAGGTCTTCCTTTTGTCGTTGGTTCACCCTCCAATGGCTGCCGCGGATGGCGCGCTGTGGCCGGCGCACTGAGGCCGGTGCATCGCGCTGATCCCAAGGCAGGAGCCAGGTGCTTCTCCTGGTCTCCCATGGGGTGCAGGGCCCAAGCACTTGGACCATCCTCCACTGCACTCCCTGGCCACAGCAGAGAGCTGGCCTGGAAGAGGGGCAACCGGGACAGAATCCGGCGCCCCGACCGGGACTAGAACCCGGTGTGCCGGCGCCGCAAGGTGGAGACTTAGCCTATTGAGCCACGGCGCCGGCCCTTCTTTTGCTTTTTTAATAAGATTTATTTATTATTTATTTCAACGGTGGAGATAGATTGATAGAGAAGGAGAGAGAGAGAGAGAGAGAGAGCGAGAGCGAGAGCGAGAGCGAGAGGGAGGGAGGGAAAAAGAGATGTAGATCTTCTATTTACTGGTTTACTCCCCATATGGCAGCAATGGCCAGGGCTGGGCCAGGCTGAAGCCAAGAGTATCTTCTGGGTCTCCCACATGGGTTCAGGGGCCCAAGCACCTGGGCCGTCATCCGCTCGCTGCTTTCCCAGGCACATTAGCAGTGAGCTGGACTGGAAATGGAGCAGCTGGGACTTGAACTGGCACCCATATGGGATGCTGGCACTGCAGATGGTGGCTTATCTTCAGATGCCCTGCACTGGCCTCTCACTATTTCTTACTAACAAAAATTTTGAAAACGACTGCACAAGATAAGAAACAGTCAAATAAACACTTGTTCAGTGTCTGCTCTGTGCTAGGCAAAGTGCTAGCAACTATGAGTGCAGAGGTGGCGAGACATGTTCTGTGCCTCTAGAAAGCTCACTGCCTAGAGTGAAAGATAGGCACAAGAGGAAATACGTGCAGTTCAGTAAGATAGATGAGCAGAGTGTGCACTCCAGAAGAGAGCAGACAATGGCTAGAGCCTAGGCAGTGTAACTGCACATTGTGATTTCTGCTTAGTGGGCATGTGGTAAAATCAATGACAGTCAGACGTATTTATTTAATGTTCAAACAACCAAGTGATCAAGGACCATGTTGATGTAATATTCAGTTTTTTTAAATATATAATTCTTAAAAACATATATTATTTTGTGCATGTAAAGCATTTTTAAAAATGGAGCGTTCTTTGGTATATGGTAAAGGGAGCATACTGAATCTTTGGTGGCAGGGACGTGTTAAATTACTGGAGAGAGGGTGTTGGATCAATTATTTATTCAAAAGGAGAATTTCTTCTACTTATACAAGTTAAAATACAAGACCCAGATGTGTTAAATTCCTCAGGATACGAAAGTAAAATATTATAACCACTAAAAGAAAGCAAGAGGAATATTCTTAGTCCTTGAAGAGGAAGGCTTTATGAAGACAGAGAATGTGAAAACTATTAAGATACTGACAGATTTAGCTCAGTGAAACCTTAGAGCAGTTATGTAACAATAACTGATTGCAAACTAGAAGATAAGTGGCAGATAAGGAGATAGCAGATTGGTACACAGAATTTGTAAGAAGTCTATAAGAAGAGATAAAACTACCCATTAGGAAATTGCACAAAGCATATTTTAAACAACCCACACACTTAACAGAAGAGGGAATTAAAAGGCCTAATAATGCCAATGAGAAGATGATGAACCTCACTGGATGTCAGAGAAATAAAAACAAAAATAATGAGAAACTTATTTGGTTAACTGCTGGAGAAATTGTAGGTATATTGGTACATTTATGTAGTACTGATGGAAGTATAAATTGAGAGAGCCATTTTGTGGCACAATTATTATAAACTCTTTAGTCTAAAATTACACAAACCCTAGGAATCAGAAATTGATGAGAAACTCTTATTAGGCGCAGGAGGTGATATTGTCAAGGTAGTATTATTTGTGAATAGTAGAAAACTGGAACCCTTAATATTCATCAGTAACATAATTGAAGTATCTGATTAGTGGAAGTGCACTGGAGCAGAACATGAATGGATCTTAAAATTGTTGAGTGAAAAATAATCTTCTCAATAACATAAATAACACATGCTGTGTTTGGATATGTAGAATAATACCATATGCAAGGGTATTTCAGAAAGTTTGTAGAAAATGGAATTAAAAGATAGGTTTTTTTGTGTGTGTGAAAAATATGAAATCCAGGGCCAGCATTGTAGTATAGCAGGTAAAGCTATAAAATGATGGCCAGTATCCCATATGGGCATGCTGGTTCGAGTCTTGGCTGCTCCATTTCTGATCCAGCTCCCTGCTAATGTGCCTGGGTAAGAAGCAGAAGATGGCCCAGGTCACTGGGCCCTTGTACCCATGTGGGAGACCCAGAAGAAGCACTTGGCTCCTGGCTTGGGGCCGGCCCAGTTCTGGCCATTTGGGGACTGAACCAATGGATGGAAGATCTCTCTCTCCTTTTCCCTCCCCCGCCTTTCCTTCTCTCTCTGTAGACTCTGCCTTTCAAATAAATAAATGAATGAATCTTAAAAAAATGATAAGAAGTCCTTGCATACTTTTGTCTTAAGATGCATTTTCTAGGAACTTCTTGAAGTACCCTTATATATGTGTGTGTGTATGTGTGTGTATTACTTTTGTGATGGTTGAAGTTTTTATGGTTTTAGCTATCCTTTTAAATAAAAAAGTACAAAATTACGAATCCAGAATTATTAGTGCTCTTCCCAAAGTCTTGAATATACTGAGTTAAGCTTCACAAACTCCAAGGCATGCATTTATCTGAAGGCAGCAAAAAGAAGGGTCCAAGTTTACTATGAGTCTATGAGACTGATACGGGGTTGTGTTTTTTCTAAGGTCCTGGATAACACACTCATTTCCTCCTGCTTCTGACAGCAGCCAGACGAAGCATAAAGCAGTGTGGCAGCCTCACAGTAAGAGTAAAAAGACTAAAAATAAAGAAAATACCTCTGGAGCCTCACCATGTATTGGGCTCATTGTGTTTAGCATCTATTATGTCATTTCTTCCATATTTTAGAAAAACCAAAGGCAGACACTATTTCGATACACGTTTTACACAATGAGTATGGAGACACTGAGACACCAGGATCCATAGTGAGTAATAACTGCTGTAGGCAAGTTGCTTGGATGGGCTTGGACTTGGACTTGTAAAATCTATTTCCAAAGCAACCTGATACCTTTTCTTGGTATCTTTTTCTTGAAGCCTCTTGCCATTGTGTTTCCAAGAGAGTTCTTTTCATTAAGGAAGTCAACAGTGCGAATTTCATGCTTAGGCTCAAAGTGTAAAGTTGACAGAAGGATCATCTTTAGATAAGTTAATGAGAAAAATTTAAAAGTACTTAGGGGGCCAGCACGGTGGCACAGTAGGTTAGTTCTCCAACTGTGACACTGGCATCCCTTATGGGTGCCAGTTCTAGTCCTGGCTGCTCCTTTTCTGATCCAGCTCTCTGCTACCATCTGAGAAAACAGTAGAAGATGGCCCGAGTGCTTGGGCCCCTGCACCCATGTTGGAGACCCGGAAGAAGCTCCTGGCTTCTGAGTTTGGATTGGCTCAGCTCTGGCCGTTTTGGCCATTTGGGAAATGAACCAGCGGGTGCAAGACCTTTCTGTCTCTCCCTCTCTCTGCCTGTAATCTCTCAAAATAAATAAAATCTTAGTCGGCGCTGCGGCTCAATAGGCTAATCCTCCACCTGCGGCGCCGGCACACCGGGTTCTAGTTCCGGTTGCCCCTCTTCCAGGCCAGCTCTCTGCTGTGGCCAGGGAGTGCAGTGGAGGATGGCCCAAGTCCTTGGGCCCTGCACCCACATGGGAGACCAGGATAACCACCTGGCTCCTGGCTTCGGATCAGCGCTGTACGCCAGCCGCAGTGCGCAGGCTGCGGCGGCCATTGGAGGGTGAACCAACAGCAAAGGAAGACCTTTCTCTCTGTCTCTCTCTCTCACTGTCTGCTCTGCCTGTCAAAAAATAAATAAATAAATAAATAAATAAAATAAAATCTTTTTAAAAAAAGTGGTTAGGTGGTAGTATTTCAGTTTACTTTTTTGGACTCACCATTTTACTGTCAATATATTCCAAGTGGTAACCCAACCATTGTGCTACATGGTTGCCTTTGAGTTTTTTTTTTTTTTTTTTTGAGTTCTATTTCTAATTAAAAATAAAATAAAAACAGAGAAGTTATCTGATCACCTGCACCCTGGTTGGGTCTCAGCTTTTAGTCTGGGTCCATCAGTGTGGGCCACAGTCAGTCAAGGAATGGTGTCTAAGGGGAACTCCATCTCCTACGAGCGAAACCTCAGGATGTGGAACTGAAAGTGAGGCTGGCTGTCATGGAGCTGGAGCAATCGTCCTTCTTTTGTTTCCCTGCGCTAACATACATGCTACCTGATATTTATGTGCATGCTTTTCAGTACCTGCAATTCACTAGGTGGTGACTGCGAATTAGGGGACAGGAGGAAGTAAAATCAGATTTCTAGTGAAGGGAGCAGTATCATTTGAAGAAATCAACGGCAATTGTTTCCAGTTAATTCCTCTACTTACCAGGGAGCTAAGGAAACTTCCTGGGCTGCGACTTCAGTGACATTTCTCTCCTTATCTTTGTTTTCATCTTTTGAGTTTTCATCCTTCTAGGCGTGTTAATCAGTCACTGGATTAACATCAGAATAAAAAAATGACATCAGAAAACGAAACAAAAAAAGCCGTCATACTCGTTTCATAATGTGAGATTACTTCCAAAAGTTCATGTAAAATGGAATTAAGTTTTTATTTTTTGTGCAAAAAATTTAAAATCTGCACAAATCCAGGCACTCCCATGTGGAATTCAGGTGCCTGAACTGCTAAGCCAAACCACTCCCTCCTTCCCCCTTTTCTTTTATTAATATCAGGTTGTGAGCTCATTAATCCCAGATCCTAGGACAATGCTAGTTCATGTGTGAGTTTCTGTAGTGGCTGAGTTTGTTAGTATGAGTATGTTAAGTGATATCTGGTTGTACTTGGTATCATTTAGATATTTTTTGTTAGTGATTCTAGCTCTAGGATCACCGATAAGGAGCTTTAAAGAGGTTTTTCACTGACTTTTATTCATTGTCTCTTTGAAAAGGTGTAAGTTGGGAACCTGCTGGGAGAGGGCTGATGTGTGATGCGTGATGTACATTTAGGTCTCTGCTGCCCACCTCTGTTTCATGCTGTGTTCCTTTTCACTTCCCTTAGGTCTCTACCCTCCAAGAGCCAAGCTGGTGATCCAGAGACACCTGTCATCCCTGTCGGACAATGAACAAGCCGACATCTTTGAACGAGTTCAGGTACCCTCATTGGGGTTTCTCATAAATAAGACAGAAGGAGTGAGAATGGAATCCTGTTTTGGGGGTTCCTTTTGCTTTCCACTGTCTGAAGTCACCATTGTGCATCCCCTGACCCTGTGTGGCAGAACTTGAGCACCCTGGCTCCTTTCATGTCTGAGCATGGGGAAAACTCTGGACTGTGATTGTGTTTGTGTGCTGGATCAAACCACAGGAATAAAATAGGAGGGGGGAAGTTGTGTTGCCAAATTGCACTCTTGGCTTGTCTGTTCAACAGAAAATGAAGCCAGTCAGTGACCAGGAAGAAAATGAACTTGTGATTTTACACCTGAGGCAGCTGTGTGAAGCCAAGCAAAAGACACACACGCACATTGGGGAAGGCCCATCGGTAAGGAGCTATTTTCTCCTTGACCTACTTCTCTTTGTTTACACATTTACTTAAAATATTGTAGAAGCTGAGAAAGAAGGTTTTTTTTTTCTTGTGCTCTCATCTTCTTTAGGGTGAAAGTCCTATCTATATATATGTGTTGTATTTTTTAGCATTGTGGGCATTTTGTAGGAATTATTAGTATGCATTGACACACTGAGATGAAATAATAATGATGGTATGAAAATGTAAAAGAACTTTTTTGTTGTTGTTAAAATGGCAGTAGTGTGCATGAGGTAGAATTCACATTCATTTGTTAGTGATAGTAATCTGTTATTTAAAATTCACATGAATATTTTATTTCTTCAAAAGATTAGCTCAAATGGTGAAAAGCCAGGAGCAGAGCAGCAGGAGTATCGTGTAAGTGTCTCCCCCAGCTGCAGACCAAAGAATGGCATTTCTGTGCATGTGGCTTAGAATTTAATCCTAGCTGCATGTAAGTAAAGCAAGGTCATCGGCAGCAATCTCCAAGGGGATCTTGCTTTATTAATAACACTAATTCAGTGTGAGTCCTTTTATCACTGTATTCAAAACAAGTCACCTGTTACTTGGTTAGTATGTGTACTTTCATTTAATCAAGATTTATTTTATTTATTTGAAAAGCAAAGTGGCACAGAGAGAGACACATACACACAGACAGAGAACAAGTGTGTGTGTGGGGGGAGTGGGGACAGGAGGGAGAGAGAGAGAGAGAGAGAAAGAGAGAGAGAGAGTTCTTCTACCTGCTAATTTACTCCTAATGTGGCCGCAATGACCAGGGCTAGTTCAGGCCAAAGGAAGGAGCCTGGAACTCCGTCCAGGTCTCTAACATGTTTGGCAGTGCCTTAACCCCTTGGCCCATCTTCTGATGCTTTCCAGGTGCATTAGCAGGGAGCTGGATTGGAAGAAGAATAGCTGGGACTTGAACCAGCACTCCAGCGTGGGATGCTGGCATTACAAGTGGGAGCGTAAGCCAGTGCTTGACAATGCCGGCCCCATATTCTTTCATTTACTCATTGAACTAGCAGTTCAATAGCCATGAGGCATGCTATATGATAAGTGACAAAAAAGTGATGAATCAATTCTGTTTATTCCAGAAAAGGACTTAATAAGTTGAAAAGGGCATGAAAACAGATAAATAATGCATAGAACAGATCTGGGGGACTGTTGCTGTGGTGTAGTAGGCCAATCCTCTGCCTGCGGTGCCAGTTCTAGTCCTGGCTGCCTCTCTCAGAAAGCAGTCCAAGATGGCCCAAGTGCTTGGGGCCCTGTATTTGTGTGGGACCTGGAGGAAGCTCCTGGTTCTTGGCCCATCTCTGGCTGTTGTGGCCATTTTGGGAGTGAACCACTGAGTGGAAGACCTTTCTCTCTGTCGGTAACTCTGCCTCTCAAAAAAAAAAAAGAATATGTCTGTAATTGGCCTTTTAAAAGCACAAAAATAGCTCTATTTTCCTTTGGAGAGTAAGAGGAAGGGGCAATTTAAAATGTTAAGCAGGGATGTATAGGGGGCTGAAGCTTCCGGGGAGATGAAGTTTGCTGTGGAAAAGTTGGCAAAGTATGTTTTATTAGAGACATTGAACACAGTGGTGAATAGTGGTATGGTCAAACTTAACTTCATGCAGGTACTATAAGTAAAAACTGTTCTTTGGGCATGCTTGGGGGTTGATGGGAAAACGAAGCTGTAGCTGGAGGAACAGACAGAGTTGAGATGAAGGAAGCCTTTCAGTGGTGGCCTGACTTTATTATGGAAGGATTTCAAGTGAGAGAGGGAGAAGATCAGATCTGTACAATAAAGAGAATGCTGCTGTCCCTCTTGTGACAGATTTGTGGGGAATATGGTAGGCGAGGGGTTTGAGATTGTTAAAACTGAAGTCACATTCTCCGATTTGGACAGTTTTGTCCTAAAATGTGTGAGGTGTGGCCACAGGCCTTTATCAAGTGCAATAGTGGAGCCCAACAGCATCCCTTCCCTGCCATCTGGCTGTTAGGAGGAGAGGCCAGTGTATCATTAAATCAAGTGAAATGTGCTGTGGTTGTCATATGCACAAGACAGCATTAGTACTACTATGCAAAAAGAATGGGTGATTGTGTCTTGAAAAAGGTGTCTGACTCAGGAGAGGGGCTGAAGTAGAGCACTGGACATGTGCAGACGGGGCTGAGGCAAGGAGTTGAGGAGGCATCATCATTTGGACTTAGTAGTTGGGTGAGTCGGAACAGGAGGGGAGAGGGGAATACTGCAGACAACTTCAAGGTTTCAGAGTTAGGGGAAGTTGGATGAAACTGAGCTCGAAAATAGAGAAATAAGACTGCGGTGGGGGGTAGGGGATGGAATAAACAGTGAGTTCAGTTTGGAAATGTCTTGGAGATTCAGCGAGAACATGGATTTGGTGCCCTTGGAGGACTTTGAGTTGAAGAATGATCATGGAAACTCCAAGCTTTGGCTTGGGTTTCAGGTCAAAGGAGAATGTGCTGGGTGTGCACTTCTTTGTGGTAGAGGGTACTGAAGATCATCGAGGAGGAGATCTGGACAAGTTGCTTCTGTTTGCTGACAGATGCTCCATCCTCCTCCTTCCGCCTTCCTTTCTTCCTTCCATTTATCCCACCTGTATTTCCTGAGCTGCCACTATGTGTCTGCCATTGTGCTAAGTGCCAAAGTAATTTCTCAACTTTGTCCTGTCGTTCATCTGGAAGTCTTAGAATGATGAGTAATCCCGGAGCTCTGTGCGCCTCCTAAGCTGAGTCCAGCCCATTCTGAATCCGTTGTGTTCTGTTATTTCTCTTGCATTGGTAGCTTCTTAAATGATCTGACAGAGCCAGTGCCTCCTTCGTGGACCATACTGAAGCCTCTACTCTAGTTTGTTCTCTCAGTCTCTGACATCCTTGTCCTTTAGATGTTTTTGAATTCTTTCAGATAAATCTCCCTAAAACGCTGCTTTCCCAGTGATGTCCCTGTGCTTATAAATTTGGATCAGTCGGTGATTCTTCTCATTTACCTGGCATGCCAGACCATTCAAGGTTTTGCATTTTTTTTTTCAGCATTATGTCTTTGTGTGACTTTCCTCTTCTCCCCTCTGCTGTCGCCAAACATATCGTGCTGATTGTGTCCCTTAAGCAATCCGGTCTTTATGATTTTGCCAGCAACCATCCCTAGTTCCGGGAAAGCCTTCATCCATGTCTTCATGCCTTTCTGAATTTCGTATGTCCTTTCTTTCCTGACCATGGACACCTGCAACCAATTTCCATGCTTTCCTGTTTGATGCTTCTATGTACATTGTGTTGCTCCCTCCCCAAGAAAATTATAAGCTGTCTTCTAAGTCGAGAGGTTCTGGGCTCTATGGACCATGCCATATGTGAGTACATAATAGCTGTATACCTCAATGGGATAAAGCATGGAGAAAATCTAATATAGTGGATACATTTTAGATTCTCATACAGTTTAATTTTATTAGACATGGGGGCAGGGGTGGAAAGGGATGTACATATATATATATATATAGAGAGAGAGAGAGAGAGAGAGAGAACGTGTCCCCATCTTCTGGTTCATTCCCGCAAATCCCTGCAGTGGCCAGGACTGGGCTAAACTGAAGCTGAAGTCTCCCATATGGATGGCAGGGACCCAGTTACTTTAGCCATCACAGGTACCTTCCAGGACCTGCATTAGCAGGAAGCTGGAGTCAGGGGTGGAAGCTTGGAATTGAACCAGGTGCTGCAAAGCGGGATGCGGCATCCTCACCACCAGGCCAAATGCCTGCCCCTCATCCCGATGAGAACTATCAGAGAAGATTTACTTATTGATCTGAAAGATAAGTGGCCCACTCACAAATGAAAATGAAATTGTAACAGAGACATTAGCAGAATCCAGGTTTTTTTGTTTTGTTTTGTTTTGTTTTGTTTTTGTTTTTTTGGAAGATGCTTTGTTCCTTGAAACTTATTAACTTGTTTTCCTTAGTAGTTTGGAAATGAAATATGTACCTTGGAGAAGGATGGCTATAGTCATTAATCAAAGTAACAGCAGTAAAAATTGACACCTCAAGATTAATTTTTGTTAAACACAGTAGGAATGTATTAGTGGAAAGGAAAGACATGAAGGAAAGATCTTATTTCGGTCTTTTTTATTACTTACTATGTTAAAATTAGACCTTTTTCCTTATAATCTTTGTGTTCACAGTGTGGAACCTTAATTATTACTTCTTAATAAAACTACTGGAGGATTCTTGTATTTAGTAATGACCTGGTCTTAAACCTGTATTTAAAGCCTCATTTAACTTTGAGTATTTCCAAACTGAAATTCATGTTTTTCTTTCTCTAGACTATTTCAAATAGTACAATCCCGGAAAATGCGACAAGCAGTGGAAGATTCAAACTTGACATTTTGAAAAACAAAGCTAAGAGATCCCTAACTAGCTCCCTGGAAAATATCTTCTCAAGGGTAAGATCAAACTGAGGGTCCTTTAGGTATCCACATCTATGCGTTTCTATTTCATATCCTTTTCAACTGGCTCATGGAAGATTGCCTTAAAAACAACCTTACTGAGATAACTTTAACTAACACTAAAAATAAGCTCTTAAAGCAAGGTTCCTACTCAGATCTAGATTTATTCTGTGAACTCTGAGAACTGGATTTGAGCAGTAGATGTTTCGCAGGAGAGATACCTATGTATGGAGAAGGGGAAATTAGATATTGATGCCCAATCCTGTAGGTGTGGGGGTGTGGTGCAGTGCCCTGTGTGGGAGCCCTGTGTGGTGAGGAGTGGGACAGCAGATGAGAGCAACCTGGTTCCCAAGCCTTAGTGGTTGAGGAGGACATCCCTACATAGGAAAGGCCCAGTGCAAAGTGTGTGAGCCATGGGAGAGGTGTTCGTGGAGAAGGCGCTCAGTATAAAGGGGTAGAATGTGGGCAGGGTGAGGATGTCCACGTGTGGCACGGCTACCCCAGTGTCAGGTGTCACCAGCTGCGTGGGATAAGGGGTGTTCACACAGTGGCCTTTGTTACACACAGGGGACTAAACAAATAAGTCAGCACGCTAAGGAGAAGGGCATCTAGGGAGAAGGGAATCACAAATATAAAAGGACAAGAAATTAAAATGAACCTTATGTGGTTGGATCAACTGGGAGGTATCCATGAGAAATCATGCTTGTGAATGTGTGTGTGTGGCAGGGCGGGCAGAAGGAAGGAATGCAAATGTCTGCCTGTAGCCCCTGATTGTGTCCAGGTACTTCAGACACCAGATAATGAGACTGGCTGGATGACACCCAGCCCCCAGGGTTTGTTTTCTATAGATCTTTCTCCACTAGAAGGAACTAGGATCTGGGGAAAACTAATTCCAGGACTACAGGGAAAGGGTAAGATAAATTTGGGCAAAATATCTTTTTGTTCTAGATGGTAAAGAAGTGCTCAAACATGGTGATGTGTACAGAGATCCAAACCTTGAAAAGGCTCCACCTCATGTCATCTGACAGAAAGTGAGCATCAAAATAAATGATAGCAACAGATTTTATAAACTGTTGTGTAAACAGGGAAGCCATGAGTCTATCATGAAATAAGACGTAAATGAACACATTGAAACCAGGTCATGAACAGGATACAAAACTTATGAAGAATGAAGAGAAAAATGATAACTTAAATGTGGAGAAGGCTGGGAGCAAACACCTATTTAATCAGAGATTTAAATGAGCATCATCAGTAAAGGGGCTGTCTCACATCGTATGCCACCTGATATAAAGAACAAACACAGTGCCTGGGTTTAATGCTTGACTCTGGCTCTAGTAGACCCGAGCATCCTGCTATTGTAGACCCTAGGATGCAGCAGGTGATGGCTCAAGTATTTGGGTCCCTTCCACTTATGTGGGAGACCTTGATTGAGTTGCTGGTTCCTGGTTTCATCCTGGCTAGCCATAGCTGTTGTGAGCAGTTGAGGGGTGAACCAGTGGATGAGAGAGCTATCTGTATCTCCTTCTCTAACTCTTTAAACAGAATTTGAAAAGACGCTCTTGATGACTTTTTTTTAAAGATTTTATTTATTTGAGAGGTGGAGTTACAGACAGTGAGAGGGAGAGACAAAGAGAAGGGTCTTCCTTCCATTGGTTCACTCCCCAAAAGGCCACAATAGCCAGAGCTGTGCCAATCCGAAGCCAGGAGCCAGGTGCTGCTTCCCAGTCTCCCATGCAGGTGCAGGGACCCAAGCACTTGGGCCATCATCAACTGCTTTCCCAGGCCACAGCAGAGAGCTGGATCAGAAGAGGAGCAGCCGGGACTTGAACCAGCACCCATATGGGATGCTGGCACTGCAGGTGGCAGCTTTACCCACTATGCCACAGCGCCGGCTCCTGTAAATGCTTTTTAAGAGACAGATAGTAATATAAGTTCTTAGACTTTGAGATACTTTTAAGTAACCTTGTAACTCGTTGCAAATATGTTGTTTTCAAGAAGGTATTTAGTTCTATTTAACACAAATAGCATTATGAGAATGAGTTTAGCCACATTTAGAAATTTTCTATGTTTATTCAATAGAGCATTAAGGACAGTAACTTCTGACATCTGATTTTCTTATTTTTGCGTCTTTGCTAGAGCTCAATGTATTTTTACAGGTATTTCTCCTAATAGCTGAAATTCTTCTAATTTCAACAAAAGCCCTGCAAAAAGCATGGTCAGCTGGAAATGTCATTATTTTATCAGCAAAAAGCAAACTTGTGGGAAAGGACATCTAGATTTGTCAGAAGTGTGTTAGTGGAAGTTTTCATAAAATCTTCATGCCTGGGTAGACTTCCAAGATGGTTGAATAGACATGCCCAGTGTTCAGTCCTCCTCCCCAGAGAGGAGCCAGAACTTGTATGACAAGGTGAATGCCCAGGGAGGAGCACCAGAATGCAGCAGGGGAAACTGGTAGAACACAGAGACCTAGGATGGTATCTTAGAGGAACAAAGCCAACCAGCAGCTGAGTATCTTGGGTATTGGCTAAGCCTTCTGTAGACATTAACAAAATTAACAGTCTTAATTCTGTAATTTAACTCATGCTCTACGATGGCCATTTTTTTTCTTAAAATATGGTTCCACATTTTTTCTTAAAATATGGTTCCACATGAGCAGCAGTGGCGTCACCTGGGAATTTGTTAAAAATGCAAGTGGGCGGCCGGTGCCGCGGCTCACTAGGCTAATCTTCCGCCTTGCGGCGCCGGAACACCGGGTTCTAGTCCCGGTCAGGGCGCCGGATTCTGTCCCGGTTGCCCCTCTTCCAGGCCAGCTCTCTGCTGTGGCCAGGGAGTGCAGTGGAGGATGGCCCAAGTACTTGGGCCCTGCATCCCATGGGAGACCAGGATAAGTACCTGGCTCCTGCCATCGGATCAGTGAGGTGCGCCGGTCGCAGCACGCCAGCTGTGGCGGCCATTGGAGGGTGAACCAAAGGCAAAAGGAAGACCTTTCTCTCTGTCTCTCTCTCTCACTGTCCTCTCTGCCTGTCAAAAAAAAAAAAAAAAAAATGCAAGTGGGCCTCATCACTGACCTACTTAACTGGAAACTCTGGGGTAGGGTCCAATAATTTGGGTTTTAACAAGCCCAAGAGTTGATGCTGGTGTTGAAGCTTGAGAACTACCTCTCTGGATAAGTGTATTCGTCCCTCCCCTGAGCTCTTTATTTATATTCATTTTATTTGAAGGCAGATGGGGAGACATACCTCCTGTGCACTCATTCACTCCTCAAATGCATGCACCAGCCAGGGCTATCCCGGTCCAAAGCTAGGAGCCTGGTAACCCATCTGAGTGTCCCATGGGAGTGGCAGGGGCTTGAGTACTTGAGCCATCCATCACCTGCTGCCTCCCAGGGTGCACTTCAGCAGAAAGCTGGATTGGAAACTGAGGAGGCAGGACTCAAACCGGGCACTCTGCTATGGAATGTGACATGTCAGTCCCAAGTGACATATACAGCTGCACCAAATGCCTGCCCATAAGTGTAATTCTTAAAGCACTAACATCATTAGTAGGGCATCAGTGTGCACTTGCAGCAGCTACTCAAATTGAATACAGCATTCAGTAAAAATTTGAGTAGACAGGTCATTTAAGCAGGGGACCTGAATGTAAGACCTCACCCTAGCAGATCTCATATTTATGCTCTTGACAAATTATTCACCTTTTCTAATTCATTCTTTCCTCATTTCAGATACAGACATTTTAATACTTGTCTGTGAGGATTGAATACCAGAATGTTAGGAAAATATCACCTTTTAGATATGAGGTGATGTATTCTGTAGTAAGCTTGAAATCTGTCACTGCAAAATGGCAAAGGGTATTTAGTGTGTTACTCTTTTTATCTTCATTTAGTACCATGACATTCTGTACATTGTATGCATGGCTGACTTTAGAGCGTCTTATCCACGTGCATTGAATTGCTGTAATGACTTTCAGGGAGGGTGCAGCTAATCTGTTTTGGGCAAAGTAGATACAGTAGCTTTTGTGTCCCAAAGTGATGCCAAGTACCATAAATTTTGTGACCTAACAAGGTCTTGCTTATGCCGTGTGCAGTAGAATGGACTTGTTGGAAGGTTGGCAGTGACCCATGTTGCATTAAAGTTTATGTGGCAAAAGGGGTTCTATTTACTTCTAAAATTGACAGTTTATTCTTTTCCCATGAGTTGTGTAGTAGAAAATTTACACTCAAGTCAGAATTGAGCTGATAATTGCTGCCATTTTTAAATGTAAAAATATTGTTTAGCTAACTTTAGTTATTGATGAAATCAAATCCATATATTTTAATGTGTAGAAGTTCATCTCATTAATAATTGAAAAGCAAGGCTAAAGGAAAGGGGTTGGCATGTGAATTACCACTTATAAAATAGTAAAACACAAAGAGCTGTCTGTTCAAAAGTGAAAAGGAAAAAATCTGATATACTGGCCATTTTTCTGTTGTATTTTCTTAAGTTGAAAATTTGCAAAATAGGAATATTTAATAATAATATAAAGTTCAAATCATTTTACAAGTTGTCCTTCTTTCCTGTTGACTTCACAGCAATATCCATTGTCTTTGCCTGCAACAGGCATGAATTAATAGTGGTCCAGTTTACATTTCCTTAAGTCTCTTTGTGCACCCAAACCCACGTGTGGATAAAACACCACTCTGAGTGATACTACTGAGTGATACTACTTCCAGCAATGGCGGCGGGGGCTAGAGCCTAGGATGGTGTCAGGGTATAGATTGCGCCACAGATAAGACTGTGCCATTTTCCTAACATTCCCCTCTTTTATTTTTTATAAAGCAGGAGTTGTATGGGATTACATTAGCCCCAAAAGTCCAGGAGGGGTAGAGGGATGATGATCTGTCTTTAGAGCTACTTCCTGCTGACATGGGGCAATGAGGTACTCTTTGCTGGCATGGGGTGATGTCTCAAGCCACTGTTTCCTGGGTGGAGAGCCGAGTATATCCCTGTAGCAGCATTTGG